TACCTCCTCTTTTCTTTGCGGAATCCATCATTAGGCTATACAGTAGCAAAGAAATGATAAAATGTGAAGGAATGACCAGGATTGCCTGTTCGCACGAGCAAGCAGGACCCAACACCCAACAGCTGATTCTGGAGTTCAGCGCTACCTTACATAAACGGCGAATCCAGAAAACACTGGGGGGGGGGGGGGGAGAGAGAGAGAGAGAGAGAGAGAGAGAGAGAGAGAGAGAGAGAGAAGGAGAGAGAGAGAGAGAGGAGAGAGAGACGAGAGAGAGAGAGAGAGAGATAGAGAAGAGAGAGAAAGAGAGAGCGAGAGAGAGAGATCGAGATGAGAATAAAAAGAAATAAGAAGGAGGGAAGAGCGAGAGAACAGCCAGGAGACGAGAGAAAGAAAGAGAGAGAAAGATAAGAGAGAGAGAGAAAGAAGAAGAAAGAAGAGACAGAGAGAGAGAGAAGAGAGAGAGAGAGAGAGAGAGAGAGAGAGAGAGAGAGAGAGAGAGAGAGAGAGAGAGAGAGAAGAGAGAGAGAGAGAGAGAGAGAGAGAGAGAGAGAGAGAGAGAAAGAGAGAGAAAGAGAGAGAAAGAAAGAAAGAAAGAGAGAGACAGAAAGAGAGAGAGAGAGAGAGAGAGAGAGAGAGAGAGAGAGAGAGAGAGAGAGAGAGAGAGAGAGAGAGAGAGACGGAGGTGAGGTAACGGAGGATGCTGTGGGGAGGAGGGGGGGGGGGATCGGAGGCGGGGCACTGGCCAGAGGGACAAGGTGTTGGGGGGGAGGGGGGGCTGTCGAAGGTGAGATTCCTCGCATGCCTCCCGGAGCTGCCTCAGAGGGGGGCGGGGGCGGGGAAAGAGGGGGGGGGATGGAAAGGGGAGCTGGAGGATTCTCTTCCTCCTTCGCCTGCTTCTTCTCTTCTCCTCTATATATTTACCTTTTTCCCACGTTCTCTCATCCCACCTCCTGTGCTGTATATTTTTGCTCTTCCCTTTTCGCCTCTTCCGCCTCCTTCCCCTTCGTTGCCTTCTTCTTCTCCTTCTCCTTCTCCTCTTCCTCTTCCTTCTTCCCCTTCGCTTTCTCCTCCTCCTCCTTTTTCTTCGTCCTCTTCCCCTTCCCCTTTCCCTTCCTTCTTTTCCATGTCCCCCCCTCTCCCCCCCAGCCTCCTCACTTCCTCCATCCACCCGCAGACAAACTCCTCCCCTCTTCCCTCCTTCCTTGAACGTCTACGTACCTCTCCCTCCCTCCCTCCTTCCACCCCTTTCATCCTTCCATCCCTTTCATCCTTTCATCCCTTCTTCTTCTTCTTCTTCCTCCTCCTCCTCCTCCTTCTCCTCTTCCTCCTCCACTCTTCTTCCTCCTCCTCCTCCTCCCCCTCCTCCTCCTCCTCCACTCTTCCCCCTCCTCCTCCACTCTTCCCCCTCCTCCTCCACTCTTCCCCCTCCTCCTCCACTCTCCCCCCTCTTCCTTCTCCTCTTCCTGCTCCTCCTCCTCTTCCTCCTCCTCCCCCTCTTCCTCCTCCTCCTCTTTCCAACTCCCCTTCCCCCCACTTCCCCCCCCCCCCTCTTCCTCTTAGCACCTCACACACAACTGTCACAAGGTAAACAACTCGACGAAGCGCGCCGACGCCATTTAATTTACGTGGGAGACAATCGAGGCGTGTGTGTGTGTGTGTGTGTGTGTGTGTGTGTGTGTGTGTGTGTGTGTGTGTGTGTGTGTGTGTGTGTGTGTGTGTGTGTGTGTGTGTGTGTGTGTGTGTGTGTGTGTCTGTGTGTGTGTGTGTGCTTGTGTGTGTGTGTGTGTGCTTGTGTGTGTGTGTGTGTGCTTGTGTGTGTGTGTGTGTGCTTGTGTGTGTGTGTGTGTGCTTGTGTGTGTGTGTGTGTGTGCTTGTGTGTGTGTGTGTGTGTGCTTGTGTGTGTGTGTGTGTGCTTGTGTGTGTGTGTGCTTGTGTGTGTGTGTGTGCTTGTGTGTGTGTGTGTGTGCTTGTGTGTGAGCGTGCTTGTGTGTGCGTGTGAACATAAGCTCGAATGTGTTTCGTTCCGTTACATGATCGCGTTTATCTTTTTTGTTCCTTTCTTCTTTTAAGTATGAATTTCCCAATTATTGTTTATTCCTTTGCAACGCATTCTCGTATTGTCTCTTTGATGTTCTATATTCTCCCCTTACTATTACAAATAAACGTTTATTTTATCTGACATCTTTACTAACACTTTCACACACTAATAATCTTACTAATAAGTATTCACACATAAAAACACCCAATAACTTCCTTATCATACCCCGACCCTCTCTCTCCCCCTACCCCACCCCTGCCCCCACCCCCACGCCGGCGAGTCAGCGACGGAGAGAAGTATGTAGATCATCACATACGCGATCAAAGTGAATCAAATGAGACAATCATTTAAACGCCGATTAACAGGAAAAATACAAAAATTTGAATAAAAGCTGATTGCCTTGGATAACTTACGTGTGTACATGCTTATACATTCGAACATATACACACGCTCGTACGTGAGTGTGCGTGTGCGTGTGTATGTATATGCACACACACACACACACACACACACACACACACACACACACACACACACACACACACACACACTATATATATATATATATATATATATATATATATAGAGAGAGAGAGAGAGAGAGAGAGAGAGAGAGAGAGAGAGAGAGAGAGAGAGAGAGAGAGAGAGAGAGAGAGAGAGAAAGAGAGAAGAGAGAGAGAGAGAGAGAGAGAGAGAGAGAGAGAGAGAGAGAGAGAGAGAGAGAGAGAGAGAGAGAGAGAGAGAGAGAGAGGGGGGGGGGGAGAGAAAGAAAGAGAAAGAGAAAGAGAGAGAGAAAGAGAGAGAGAGAGTATAGTGACCCGCCCTCGTGATCACACACCAGAAAAGCCATATGCTTCCTCTCCTACAGTACCTCCACTATCCTCCGCCGCCTCCAACAGGTCGACAATCGTGACCATGACGAAGTGACCTTAGAATATGCTACCTTTATTGCTCGTAAACAATTCCCATGCTGTTATTCTGATGTCTTTATGTATAATTATGCCTTGTTTATACTCGAAATGTACGTTAGAAAATGCTTATTCTGAATCACTACGTATGTAATCGCTATTAATATCAATATTCAAATACCTCTATGTTTTATGAATACCTTTTATCACGAAGCTTTTTAGTCTTGTAAACATCATAAATATCGTGTTACATACAACTGTATATAAGGTACTCCTTGTTTCTTCACCACGAAACCACCACGTGACCATATGTATCGCAATTTGTGTTCATTCAAATTCTTTCATGTTTTCTATTTTGAAATGTTTCAAAATGAAGTTTGTTCATAGAAATTTCTGAGCAGTCGACACAGACCGCTCGTTCTCGCGGGCGTGCTCAGGCGCCTCGCTCCTGCCTGGGCGTCTCTGTCACGCCAGTCCTCTGTACTCCAGCTACTAACTCTACTCCCGTGCCAATAAAATGGAGAAACTACGACAACTTTAACTCTACACCTCGAGAACCAAACCAGAGCCTGTCAAAGAAGAACACGAACTCACCACAACATTACATTGGCCCCAGACTAGTGGAATAACCATCCTGCTATTCATTACAACTGGTGTCAGCGCAGTGGGATAACTAATCCCATGTGACATTGCATTGGTGACAGCGTATTGGGATAGCCTTCCCACATCGTGAGAGAGAGAGAGAGAGAGAGAGAGAGAGAGAGAGAGAGAGAGAGAGAGAGAGAGAGAGAGAGAGAGAGAGAGAGAGAGAGAGAGAGAGAACAAGATAGAGAAAAAGGGAAAACGCGCTACAGAAACAGAGAACAAGATAGAGAAAAAAAGGGAAAACGCGTTACAGAAACAGAGAAAACAAGATAGAGAAACAATGAGTGAGAGTGAGAGAGAGAGGAAGAAAAAGTGAGAGAGAGGGAGAGAATCAATTTCCCTCCTTCCCTCCATCTCTCCTCTCCTCTCTTCTCTCGACCGCCCTAAGAGCTCTCTTCTTAGGACTACCTTGACGGTCTCCACATGAAGGACTTCAGGCTGTCTTGCCCCCTCTCCTCACCCCTTCCCCCCCTACCCGTCCCCTCTTTCCCATTCAAGTTCACTTCATTTTGTGTGTAAGAGTGAGAGAGAGAGAGAGAGAGAGCGAGAGAGAGAGAGAGAGAGTGAGAGTGAGTGAGTGAGTGAGTGAGTGAGTGAGTGAGTGAGTGAGTGAGTGAGTGAGTGAGTGAGTGAGTGAGTGAGTGAGTGAGAGAGAGAGAGAGAGAGAGAGAGAGAGAGAGAGAGAGAGAGAGAGATTAATTTCAATTTGTTATTTTCTTACTCTTTCCATTCATCTCATATTCTCCCGCTCTTCATATTTTCTTCCCTCTTCCCTTCCACTTCCCTTCTTTCCCCTTCTCCCTTCTCACCCTTTCTCTTTCCTCTCTCTCCTCTTCCCTTTCTTCTACTGCTCCCTCCCTGCCCTCCTCTATCACCAAGCGGCTTCAACAGAAAGGCATGGGATAAAATACATTAAAAGAAACACCTAAAGAGGCCGATAACTGAATAAATAAGTAGATGAATGAGAAAGATGAAAGGAGTTTCCTTTGGGGCATTTCTGTGTCGTGGTGGTCGTGGGGCCGAGGTCGTATGGCAGTCGTTGTTGCATCACTCGTGACTCACGGTTCTTGGGCTTTGTTTACATTTTGCTTCTTTCTCCTCCGGGATCAGGCTTCGGAAAGGACGCGCGCAAATGCAGGTAGGAAGGCAGACATGCATAAACACATGTGCAAATATATGTATAGTCACTTATGCACAAAAATGCAGATACTGAAATGTAAGCATACACATAAAGCTTCTCCTCCCCGCACACACATACATACATGCCGACAAACAGACAACCCCACCTCTTCCACACGCACGCAAATACACACACAAGCACACATGCAAGCACCCACGCACGCACACGTACACGCACAAGACCTACCCCACCCCAAACGTACACACGATGAATGTGCACATATACTTACAGACAAACAGACCTACTCGAGGCCCACCGTGGACCTTGGACTCTCGGTCGCTACTCTCGCCCGCTACTCTCGCCTCCAACTCTCGCTCGTACCTGTTGAGGGAGAGGTTCATGGGTCAGGCGATATAGGAGTTAAAAAAATCATTTTGAAGTTTAAATAATGACGATAATAATGATCATAATAATAGTGATAATAATACCAATATCAATACTACTACTACTAATTATTATCATCATTATTATTATTACAACAACAATAATTCTACTACTACTACTAATAATAATGATAATAATAAAAAACAACGATAACAACAGTAACAACAAAGAAAATAACAACAACAACAATAAAAAAACAATAACAATAATAATAAGAGACAAAAAAAAGAAAGAAAGAAAGAAGGAAACTGAGCCCCGGACACACGAAAGGCAACGCGAGAGAGAGAAAAATGCACAGTACGTAGCATAGAAAAAAAAACGAGGAAAATTAAACTCCGCCATCTGTACCGCCGACAAAAAACGAGCTTCAGCTTTTAATTCCATAGGCCTATCGGGTGGTGACAACCCCCCCCCACCCCCCTCGGGATCAATTTCGATTCGGGCGCCAACGGGACAATTAAGTTTTTAAAACGCGCCAATTTCGGATGGGCCGTTTCATGATCCCCGTCCTAATTAAAAATCTAAATAAATACATAAAAATAGCCAATTATTAAGCAAATCATAGTGCCCGTGCCAGTGTCATTTTCAAACCGATGTCACACATGAAATCCTGCTTGGGAGTACTCACGCACGATGGAAGGGGGGGAGGGGGAGGGGGAGAGAATAAGGGATAGGAAGAGATATGGAGGGTGATAAGAATGGGAGTAAAGGAAAGCGGATGCAGATGAGAGAGGGAAAATAAGGAGGGAAGAGAGGGGCGAATGAGTAAAAAATAAAGGAAAACAAGAGAGGAAGGAGGAAGGAGAGAAAGGAAGAGCCAGAAGGGAAAGAGGGAACGAAGCACGGAGGGAGGGATGGGGGGGGGGGCAGGCAGGTAGACAAGAAAGAAGAATGGTAAGAGGGAAGGAAGCATGGAGGGAGGGAGGGAGGCAGGGAGGGAAGCATGGAAGTAGAGAGAGACGGAGAAAGGGAAGGAAGCACAGAGGGAGGGAGGGAGGGAAGAATAGAGGAAGGGAGGAAGGGAAGAAAGCATGGAAGCAGGAAGGGACGGAGGAAGGGAGGAAGGGAAGGAGGATAGGAAGCATATAGTGGGGTAGTTAGTTGGGGGCAAGCAGAGAGAAAAGGATAGGTAGGGGGTACACGTAGATGGGAGGAGGAGGAGGAGGAGGTGGGGAATTAAAGGATGTTAAGTCCGTCGCCGCCAGCTGTGGGCGGGCGCCGGAGGAAGGGTAGGGGTGGGTGGGGGTAGGTTGGCGAAGAGGAGCGATGGGAGGGGAAGAGTGGGGAGGGGAGGAGTGGGGAGGGAAGGGAAGTGGGACAGGGGAGAAGGATAGGGAAGAAGCGTTGAAGAGAGGGGGGGAATGGGAGAAGGGTTGGGGAGAGCAAAAGAATGGAGAATGGTGGGGGAAGGACAGGAGGGATAAGGAGGGAGGATAGGGTAGGGTCGAAGATGAGGGAGAGAGAGGGAAAAAGGTAAAATGATAGGACGAGCAGAAAAGGAACGGCTGGAGAGCGAAGGGGGAGAGGGAAGGGGGAGAGGGGGAGAGGGAAGGGGGAGAGGGGGAGAGGGGGAGCGGGAGGCCACAGCCGCGTCCCCGGCCCACCACACCCTGCATCCGGCACCTAATTGTGTCACCCAAGCACTGAATGCGCCTGCAGTGTGGCAAGTGGCACTCTCGCCAGTGCTCACAACAGGGCCGCTGGCTACATTCTACAAAATGCTGATAAACATATACCGACGATACTGGAAAAAAAAAACACGAAAAAAATGAATAAGGTAAAATACAAATATTAGTAACAGCAGCAGCAACAGAACGATCATAATAATATAACAACAACTCCACGTTTTCTCCCACAATACGGATTCTATGCATCGGCGCCCTCCCACCCTCTGGCAAACGCGACCCTTCCACCTCCCTCCCACCCCCTGGCAAGCGGCACTCTGCAAAACAGCACCGTCCCAAAAACCCTGGCGAGCGGACCGCCTTCTACACCAGTGCTTCCTAATCTTCTTTCTTCAACTCGCGACGCCTTTCTCCACCCTCCAGGACATCCGCGACCCGTCCGCCCTCAGCCGTTCCATTTAAAATGTCCCTAAATGACATGGGCTAAGAGACAGAGGCAGGAAAACAAAAATAAGCACTCTTTATTTCCCTCACTGTAATACAATATTCAGTGAAGACGCAATTATGTTCCAAATATGACGAAAGCCTCGCAAACAAGATTTTTTTTTCCCACAGGGCTTCGCGACGCCCCTGCCAACAAGCCGCGACGCCCCTGCCAATCCTCCGCGACCGACGATTGGTCCAGTGTCCTACACCCTCCTCTACAGCGCCCCTTCTGACAAGCGACGCCCTGCCAGCCCAAGTCCTTGCAAGCCTTCGTACGTGGAACTACTTCGCTCAGCTGCCCATGCCGCCGAGGAAATGAAATAATCAGCCGAAATTGTAGTGCATTCGCGTCAAAAAATACAGTTTTTCTTACATCTTTTTCCTTGCGGCGCCTCCGACCGAGCAACAAAGAAATATCATTTGAGGAAAAATATCAATCTTTTCAACTCTCCCTCTCTCTCTCTTCCTCTTTCTCCGTCTCCTTTTCCTCCTCCGTCTCCTTTTCTTCCTCCGTCTCCTCTTCCTCCTCCGTCTCCTTTTCTTCCTCCGTCTCCTCTTCCTCCTCCGTCTCCTTTTCTTCCTCCGTCTCCTGTTCTTCCTCCGTCTCCTGTTCTTCCTCCGTCTCCTGTTCTTCCTCCGTCTCCTGTTCTTCCTCCGTCTCCTGTTCTTCCTCCGTCTCCTGTTCTTCCTCCGTCTACTCCTCTTTCTCCGTCTCCTCTTTCTTCCCCTTCACTCCTTTTTCTCTCCCCCTCTCCCTTTCTCTAACCATTCACCTCTCCCTCTGCATTAAGAATCCCCCCCCCCCCCCCCAAAAAAAAAAGCAAAATAAGACAAAATCTCAACATCTATTTTTTACTCCATGAATAATTCTGCTTTCGTGTGTATCTTCTTCCCTTTTTTTTTGAATTCTAAAAAAAATGTTCGGTCCTTGTTATGCCCTGTACTGCGCATGCGTAATGCCTTACCGTAACCATAAAAAAATATATAAACTTCTACTGCGCCCACAACACCGGTCGTTCTCGCGGGTGGAAAAAAAAAACATGTATACACAAACGTAAATTTACATCTGTCACAAGAAGAAGAAATACAGTGAAAAAGGCAATATAAATCGGAGATCAAGCGTAATCCATTTTAACAAGGAAAAAACAGAACAAAAGATAAATGCTTTACGCAACATCAAAAAGGATTATTCACAAGCTCAGCAATGAATATAATCTAACTCAATAACAGATGCATTTCCCGCACCATTCGATCGCGGGACGTTACGCATACTCTCGCTGCCTCGCTCGAATTATAGCTGCGGTTACACGGGCTTCTGCTGAATGAAGGAAAGGGAGAGAGAAAAGGAGAAAAGGAAAGGAAGGGAGGGAGGAAGGGAGGGAGGGAGGGAGGGAGAGAAAGAGAAAGAGACCGAGGGTGAGAGAGTGAGAGAGTGAGTGAGTGAGTGAGTGAGAGGCAGGAGAGGGAGGAGGGAGGAAGGAGGAGGGAGGAGGGAGGAGGGAGGAGGAAGGAGGGAGGAGGGGGGAGGGGGGGGGGAGATGGAGGAGGAGGGGAGGGGGGGGGGAGATGGAGGAGGAGGGAGGGGGGGAGATGGAGGAGGAGGAGGAGGAGGAGGAGGAGGAGGAGGAGGAGGAGGAGAGAGAGAAAGGGAAAGATGAGAAAGAGAGAGAGAGAGGGTTCTAGAGAGAGAAAGAAAGAGAGAGAGAGAAAAGAGAAGAGAAGAGAAGAGAAGAGAAGAGAAGAAGAAAGAGAGAAGAGAGAGAGAAGAGAGAGAGAAGAAGAGAGAGAAGAAGAGAGAGAGAGAAGAAGAGAGAGAGAAGAGGGAGAGAAGAAGAAAGAGAGAAGAGAGAGAGAGAAGAAGAGAGAGAAGAAGAGAGAGAAAAGAAGAGGGAGAGAAGAAGAGAGAGAGAAGAGAGAGAGAGAGAAGAAAGAGAGAAGAGAGAGCGAAGAGGAGAGAGAGAGCGCAGCGCCTCCGCAGTGACAGGCCATCACGACGTAATGCAGCGTGATGGTCAGCTGACGATCACAGCGTCAGGACACATCGCCGCTTCGTCCAGTCAGCTGACAGCCTTCCTCGCCCTCACGCAGGCCCGGCACGACCAGGCCTCACCATTCCCTCATCTCACCGTCGTTCCCACCCTCTCCCTCACAATTCACTCATTTCTCCGTAGCCATCACCCTCTCCCTCACCTCCCTCATGTCTCCAGCGCTCTCACGCTCTTCCCTCTTCTCCTCGGCGCCCTCACAATCTCCCTCACTTCCCTCATCTCCCCGTCGTCCTCACTCTCTTCCCTCTTCTCTCCGGCGCCCTCACAATCTCCCTCACTTCCCTCATCTCCTCGTCGTCGTCCTCACTCTCTTCCTCTTCCCTCTTCTCTCCGGCGCCCTCACCCTCTCCCTCACTTCCCTCATCTCCCCGTCGTCCTCACTCTCTTCCTCTTCCCTCTTCTCTCCGGCGCCCTCACCCTCTCCCTCACTTCCCTCATCTCCATGTCGTCCTCACTCTCTTCCCTCTTCCCTCTTCTCTCCGGCGCCCTCACCCTCTCCCTCACTTCCCTCATCTCCCCGTCGTCCTCACTCTCTTCCTCTTCCCTCTTCTCTCCGGCGCCCTCACCCTCTCCCTCACTTCCCTCGGACCCTCCCTCCTTCTCAGCAAAACATTTACACTTGTTCTCTATCCTTGTCTCGTCTCGTCTCTCTGTTATCTCTCCTATCACTTCACCATCTTCCGTGTTTTTTTTTTTGTTTGTTTGTTTTTCTTTGTAATATTTTTTTTACCTCTCTTCTCCTTTCTCCCTCCCTCCTTCCCTCCCTCCCTCCCTCGCC